TTGCCAAAAGATTGGCCATTATGCATCCGACTGTAGATCGAAGAAATGGGAGGATCAGGCGCACTTGGCTGAGACGCAAAGTGATGAGGATGAGCCAGCCTTACTTACAGCACAAGTTTGTGAAGTCTGAACTCTCGGTTCACCAGAGTTGACGGAAATGGCTCTTTATGAAGAGAAGATTGTCCCGGAAGAAATTGAGAAGAAAAACAACATTTGGTTCCTAGATTCGGGAGCCAGCAATCACATGACTGGTTGTCGAAGTTGGTTCTCAGAATTGAACGAGTCAGTGACCGGCACGGTGAAGTTCGGAGATGGATCACTTGGAGAGATAAAAGAACGTGGAGATGTGAAGGCTGCGTCTGTGAAAAAAACAGAGAAGATGATCGATGGGGGAAAAATCGATGGCTTTGTGAAGATTGAATCGGAGGAAAAAACAGAGAAGCGAGAAGAGAAGAAGAGCGATGGTGAGAAAATCGTTGGCACTGTGAAGTTTGAATCCGAGGAGAAGAGCGATGGCGTTGTGGCGGAGGTCCAGAATGTAGCAACAGAGGTAGCAAAAGCAAAGGAGATAAAAGAGAAAGACTGTGACGGTGAGAAGAAGGAGAAGGAGGACGGAAACACTGGCTGTGCTATTGAAAAACAGGTCGCTGGAGAAACGAAAGCAGAGAAGGAAAAGGAGAAGGAGGCCATTGTTTCCGGCAGTGCAATTGAAGTAGCACAGGTAATTAAACCTGTTGAGGAAAAGCCATTGGTCGGACAAGTAGAACAGGTAATTAAAACTATCGATGAAAAGCAGTTGCCCATTGAAAGGAAGACAGAGAAGAAGGAAGGCAGAGATAATGGCGGCAGCTTTCATCCTGTGAAGCAGAGTATATTATGGCGACGTCAGCTGCTTGTCAAGGAATATGGTTAGAACGTTTACTGAAAGAAGTGGTTTGAAGAATGTAAGAATGTGAAGATCGAAATACAAGATTAAGGGGATGATTTGTTAGTTTATTTAATCTTGTATTAACCGTAATTAATCTAATTTACTGTTTGTATTT